AAAAGCAAAACAATATAAGCAAAAACAGGAAAATTCATGGAAGAATTACCTTGGATTCACTGGAGTTTGCTTTCAAAATGACAGAGAGATGGCGTAGTGGGGCGAAAATGAGAATAGCGAGAAATGGCGTAGAGAGAGAGAAATCGAATGAATGAAGGGGAGGAAAAAGGCAAAAATGGCCAGACAGAGAGAGAAATGAGTGTACCGAGAAAGTCAGAAAGCTGAGGGGAATAAAAAAAATTGTTAAGTGCTATATGACGTTAGCAATGGGTCAGCGTGATGCAATTTGAACAGGAATAAATCCTCCTCTTTTATATATATATATCCAGTGTGAGCACAATCTTACCAGGTTCACCAGATTTAAAACTGCAACTGATTATCGGCTGGTCGGATGACCTGATCTTCCTCGATTTCTGTACAATCCAAGTGTATCCACCCTCACTGGGTACAAACTCAGCTCCATAGGAAATGTCTCATCCTACTACTCTCACCTCCCAAACCAATTGGCACACCTGCCAATCCAAAGAAATTTCGAAAATCAGCATTCGAAAATGAAAATGGATGGTTAATAATAATAGGATTACTCATGCACGGAAACCAATTAGCGAACAAAAATCAAACAATTCAACTCCAAAGTTCTGAATCTGAAAGTTTATTAAGGTTTTGCAAGACAGCACTACTATCGCAAATTCAAATTTCATAACTTTAAGAAGGAGAAAAGAACAAAATTAAGTGATGTGAACAGTATAACAACAACTTCAATTAATGAATTTATAGTTGCTTTTGCGTATGGATGAAATCGATTTATAGGACAGGTGTTGAATTAGAAACGATTTTTTTTGAAGAGAAAAAAACTCCATCAAACCATATTACAAGTTCCTATTCTCAATCCAGTTACTGAATTAATACAAAATTATCAAAAGCTTGGACAACCACCAAAATACCAAAAGCAGCATCTGCCGAACCAAAAAAGAAAAACCAACAAAACGGAGGAAAACGGGATGAACATAACCTGCGAAATTGGTTAGGGTTTCAAAATGTCAGACTAAGTGGAGAGAAATGGCGTAGTGGAGAGCGAGAGATACACGAACAAGTGAACAATTGAGGGGAAAAGCCGGGAATAAGAACAACCTGAAAAAACAGAACAAACCTCTATTATTTTAGTCCAAATCGAAAAGGGGATCTCAAACAACGAAAATGATAAACGATAAAAAACAAAAAATCGATGGTACAGGAGGAAAAACGAAAGAATTTATGTCATCTTTTGTTGATTCTACAACTTACTTTTACACTTCAATGGAGGATACTTGTGAAATTGGTTAGGGTTTCAAAATGACAAGAGAGATGGCGCAGTGGATAGAAACAGGGAGAAGCAAATGGAAAAGTCGGGGAAAAAAGGACGGCATTTTGGTTAGTGTTATGTGACATCAGCAAGAGGTCAGAATGATGTAATTTAAACAGTAAAAATCCTCCTCTTATATATATGTAGAGGATTTTAAAAGATAATTTTGGGATTTTTTTACAATTGAAAAGAATTGCATGCAATATTTGTCATTTATCTTACTCATTCTCACACCACAATTTTTATTTCTTACACCACAATCTTTATATTCCTACCGATTTTTCATTCATTCTTATTCTCAAACTTTCCATTAGTTAACACATTTTATATTTAATAACGGTGTTATATTCAAAAGCCCGTTGAAATTGCGTAAAATAATTTATTTTTTCAAAAAATAAACAAATAAAAAGAGCGAAAAATTACTTTTTCCTCATTTCTAAACAAGAAAATAAAATATTTTGATATAAATCGCCATCAAAGACAAGATGTGTTAAATAATAGAAGGTTGAAGATAAAATTTGGACGGAAAAAAAAAAGTCAA